AGTAATTAAATTCTTATCAAGTTATCAATGATGCAGTGTGGAATAAATTTAATATTTCTGTTATACCGAGTGTTCGCTGAAAAAACCTTTGATATGGCGATTTTGTTTTTCACAGACTATTTTTTAGCTATAACTATGTCATAAATATACAAGGTTTTACACCGTGATTCATATATGAGTAGGAATGGACGTTTATTCCAATAAAAACGAAAAGCTATATCATTGATGTCTTATGCACGAGTGTGACCGAAATAGTGCCAATAGTGGAGAAATAGAATCCGAACAGGTTATTTCACCTCGTTAGTCACCCTCACAGGGGCAAACATAGAAGATTTTTCTGACCATATCTTCATAGTTCCAACCAGCCACATTATTTTTACTAAAATCATTGAGTATATAATCAAGGCTACAATTGACTTTCGCAAGATTTTTCCATTTTATGTTTTGGATAGGACGAAAGGGAGGGAATTCCTATATTATGTTTGTTGGAGGAGGTACGTAGATTCTGGAATCCTGTCAAAGCTTTTGGAAGTCATAAGTTCTCTGAGAATTCCAAAGATTCTGTTGCGACTTTGTGTAGGTATATATTATTTATCGTAGGTTTGAATTTTGGTACACCCTTCTGACTAGATTGAAGCTATATACAGAATTCCCCATAATAGACTATCTATTTTGATAAATAAAATTGTTGAGACTCAATAAAACATTCAATTACACTTGATTAAAATATTTACCCTCATATAGTTTGAATGTATAATATATAGATTTCAATATCAAAATAGCTAAAGTATTATAGGATACCCTGTATATTCGCCAATCCATTTGAATAATTAATTTGTAACTGTTCTCTTATGTATAGTTATTCAATTCTGGAAGAAAGTCCTTTCAAAATACTAAAAAATATATAATACACTTATTAATATTCCTATTGTTGTAAATCATATTATCTCTTCCTCTTATAACCACGTATATTAGAATAATGTTAGCTAATCCTTCATAGTAATGAAACAATCAAATACGTGGATCATTCTTTCCACTTACTTTATAATACTATGACTATGGATATTACTACAGGGTGGAATTAAAATGAATACATATTATAAATTAGATCCTAATAAAGGTCAGCTACTTTCGAATGGCGCAAAAAATTTGAGGATCGCGAAATAAAATTTGGGAAAGGACCGCTTTTTCGCCCAACGAATTTCATTCATTGAAATTGTCTTGAAATGTGGTAGGTATTTTTTTTTAATGAATTTTTTTTGTTGATTAGAGGACTTGATGCATATTTGAGGAAGATTAGACACTGTATCATATTGATGTGTTGAATATATGTATACTTTCTTATTTCAAAATCATATAGTTCATATTGGTATATGAAAAAGTGGTAACCGCAGTATAAAATAGTTCAACAATATTTGAGAATGACATAACGGTTATTCGCATTCAAAATCCGTACTACCTTATGGGGTTCATCAACGGTTCATCACCCACCCAAACATCATACGCTGATGCTCTTAGATTCCATCCAGAGAAGATCCATTCGCCTGGTGGGTGATGCCACACTCACTTACTCTTTGACATCATTGGAACACCGTTAAATAGTTGGCGACCTTACATTTTTCTATATAGATACTTCCACGGGAAATGTTCTTCAGAAATATCTGCTATCATTCCATCACTATAGCAATATCAGTTAGACGAACTCGAAAAACCCAGTCAGCACATCCTCTCGTCGTCAACGTTGAAATATGTCGAAAAAGTCTTTACCAAAACCCGTTCGTCTATATATAGAACGGCAAAGCTTTGGAATTATTTGCCAAAGGAAGTATACCCACATACCCAGGAGGTTAAAATCTCCAAAAGTTAGAAAAAAACACCTATCTACCTCCTGTCCCTATCCTCCGTAGGCACGTACGATGTTCTCGGAATATTATAGGGAATACTCTTCTTGCGCTCCAAAAGATAAAAAAAGTATTTCATTTTGTTCGATGTCAATAACAAAACACAGATTTTTCTCACTGGATACATTTTTCGACTAAAATTCATTCAACCAACGTTAACGGGAATTCCATTTTTTTCGAAATAACAACTTTTTATAGTGGTGTTTTATTTTTTGCCTTCGATAATTGGGAACAATAATCTCTGGACTATAAATTAAGTAATTGCTCATAACAATTGTAAATAAATCAAACTATGTTTTTTCTTAAAACCTAAAGGCAGGCAGTTTTTCAAAAGAATTTTCAAGAGCTTTTGGAAGCACCCTGTATAGCTACTAATTTAGAGTTACAACTGTGAATTCGGCAAATAAACAAGGAAGAGGTTAATTTTGCGGATAATGCCTAGTATATATAGTTAACACGTTAGCAGCCATGAGAAGAAACAATGTGGTACCTGTTTGTCATTTTTTTTTCTTCTGGATATCCGAGATCTATGATATCAGGATATCAGTTCATGTGGCACAATATATAGTTATTGCTATTACTTTGGGGATGGTTTGAAACCGTACGAAATATTTTGAATCCAGATAGGTAAGTATCATGTTTTGGTTTATACAAAATGTGATCAGGAATAGTATATTTTATCTTTAGTACAAGCAATTTGAATTGTTTTTTTAATGATTAGTATTAGTACTATATATATGTACCATAATAAAAATCTGACGAAGCATATATGCAAGATGGAATGTATCACCTAAACTTACATGATGATATTCATCATAATAATATATGATTCTGAAGGCAGAAGAAAAACTTCATAAGGATATCCTCGATTACTCACCTTATTTATTGATCTACCTTGCAGTTCAGTAGATGCATGAAGTCACTGGATATGCTTCTACATTATCATTAACAAAATATTCAACACATATAATTGTGGTTTATCCTACTTGGTCCTTGTTACGGGAGACTTTTCAAAAGGAACTATATAGTAAAGTTGTCAAAAGGAACTATATTGTAGAGTAGCTTCTATCATTTTGATCATGTTCTTTCAAATGCATATAGGCACTACGAATAGGTGATCAATTCAAAATATATTTATGAATCATCACAGCACACACCTTTTCTAGTTGATCTTTTCTCTATTGGGGTAATTATGTGAAAAAAGTTACTCAGTAGGTAGGTAGTTTTTGTGTTAGGTGTGGATACCAGTTTTAAAACCATATCTCTTAATCCACGTTTGAAATCGAACTGATTTTTGATTATCAGAGAAGATTTATTGAGTTCAGGAACACTACGCAACACAAATATTTTCCCTTTTGTATTAGACGCAGCGCAGAAAGGGACATACTTATATCAACATATTTTCCATAAAACATTTTTCACATTCTTGCAGCATTCTCGGAGGGACACAAAAAGTGAAGAATATTTTTTGGTAAGATATTTCACCATGTCCCTTCAACGCTTTCGTTGATGAGTGAACAACGACCGGTGGCTTCCAATTTCCCTTCTACTACTAGGAATTTCTGGTATTCAAGAACTTCATTCTCTTGGGTACTTAGAAGAAGAATACAATCAGTTAAAATGTTTTTCATCCAAGAGTATTCATTCTTGTTTGAACTTCAAGAGCGAATCCAGAAAAATACTCATGACGGAAATTTTCTGTAATTCTGGTTTCAAAAATATGCTGTACTCAAAGCAAGACAAATCAACAGAACATAAAAGAAGGGTTATTTTCGATCAATGGCAGTCATATATTAGATTCAAGAGAATTATCTTGTTTCAAAGTTAACATTTCAGATTCAGGAGTAATATTTTTTGTTTGTATGTACGTGTGAACAAACCTCACATTTAGGTGAGCCTGTTGATGCACGCACCTACCCCATACCTCATGGCAGTCAACAAAATCCAGGGGGTGTATAATTTGCTGACCAAAATTGAAGTATGCTGACCAAGCATTTGATAAAAAAATATGAATCAGAAATGCTCGGTCAGCAAGTGTTTTCGAAAAACAGCAAGATTAAACTACCCCTCTGAAGGGGTGGATCGAAATAAGTCAATTGGTGGCATCTATAAATCTATATGAGATATCCAAATAAGTAATTTGATGGAAACATACGAACCAGAAATGCTCGGTCAGCAAGTATTTTCGAAAAACAGCAAGAATAAACTACCCCTCTGAAGGGGTGGATCGAAATAAGTCAACTGGTGGCATCTATAAATCTATATGAGATATCCAAATAAGTAATTTGATGGAAACATACGTACCAGAAATGCTCGGTCAGCAAGGATTTTTGAAAAACTGCGAGAATTAACTATACCCTTCTGAAGGGGTGGATCGAGATAATTCCACTAGTTGCATCTATAAATGTATATGAGATATTAATTTGAAGGAGAAAGACGAACCAGAAATGCTCGGCCAGCAAGGATTTTTGAAAAACTGCAAGAATAAACTACCCCTTTGAAGAGGTGGATCGAAATAATGCCACTGGTGGCATCTATATTCTTATATGAGATATTCAAATTTGTGATTTGATGAAAAAATACGGACCAGAAATGCTCGGTCAGCAAGAATTTTCGAAAAACAGCAAGAATAAACTACCCCTCTGAAGGAGTGAATCGGAATTATTTTACTGGTGGCATCTATATACCTAGTCATATAGAATATTCAAATATGCAATTTGAAGACAAAATTCGCACCAGAAATGCTTGGTCAGCATACTTTAATAATTTTAGTCAGCAAATTATATTTTCCCCAAAATCCAGAGTTCTTTAATTTTTTGGAATGATTGCAAGTTTGTCGTGCGGGTCTTCAATAAGCTTATAGCGCTGAATTTCTATCAACTCTTGGTGTGATGGTGTGTTGCATAGGCAGTTTTTGCGTGCGCCAACAAGTCCGACTCCGCTGAAAGCCTGCCTAAAGGGGTCAAATCGAAAAAAATACGTTACAGTAACACAACCATGCAGGTTCGTACCGACTCCTCTCCCTCCACTTGTATATACTAGTCGAGAAAAGTCTCGACCGAAGCAGCACATTTACAACGAACAGCTGTTTCTGAATGGATAGTGGGAGAAAGGCCACGGAAGGCCGATTGAGAACGAGAACTCAAACCTCAAACGGTTCACTCAGTCTCATCGTTGAATCCTACCGCGCATGTTGATGATCAGGCTGCAGAAACCAGCCCAAACCTAGTTTCTTCTTTTTTCCTTTCTAAAAACATTCAGTGACATTCGCGAAAAATGGTACGCAGTTTGGCCCAGTGGACAAAAACTCTGAGTTTTCCCGCCAGGATATCGCCCAAAACTTCGAAAGAAAGTGTCAATATCCATCAAGTCAGCCCTACTATCACGCCAACTCTCAGCAACAATTCGTTGACAAAAAACAACGATTTTGGAATGAACAACAACAACAATTCTTCGTTGAACGAAGTGAATCAAGTAAGTCATCATGAGGTCTCTACTAACTCTCCTGTTGGACTTATTAGTGTTTTTTGCTAACCCATCAAAATGAAAGGATACAGGAGCACGAGGTATCAATCTTGGCATCAAGTCTGCAATCCTCTCCAATTCACCCTGCAAAATCAGGAATATGTAGATATGGAGCATGAGGATTTATTTTGACATCCTTCCCATATGTATAGTTCTTGAATCCTTGATGGCACTAGGTTTTTGAAAAGAGATTCTCCAGATGATATTCTGGTTCATGTGCATCTGCTAAATCTAAACTGAAAGCTTTGATTGAAGCCTTTGAAAAAATTCACAGTGTAGCAAATTAAAGAAATATCTGTTGATGTATTTGCATATTTTCACATCAAATAATGATGAAAAAGATGGAGAAAACCAACCCTATCCTGAGCATTGTCGGCTAAAATGGGACAGAGAATCAATTCCTGTAGGAAAAAAATCTCATTATCAGGTACCTATAGATATCTAATATACAAATACTTATCATAAAAATATATACGATAAAGCATTTAAGATTATCAGAAAATATATAGGGTCCAAAATATTATAAACTTATTTGTCTTGTATGACAAGTTGTAGGTAGGATACTTTTTGCCCTCGGTTTTGTCAAATAACTGTTGAAAAAGATTTCAGCTTTGCTTGAGCACTGGGTTCTAACGAATACCTTTGTGAAATTTCTGAGAAGAAGTCTATGAAAAAGGCGTATATATCTTCCAGGGTCTGTGACTTTGAATTTTGTTTGGGACTTCAAGACCAATTAGATTTCAGAGATTATAGCTTGATCTATTTTGAAGTACCTACCTCGGTACCTACCTACCGTTATATACGAGGTTATATACCTTAATACCTACACCATCATATTTGGTACAGATGGTTTATCCGGGTTTATCAATAGAAAAGCTAGAATATGGCGATTCATTACCTGTTATACAATCATCTCGACAATTAAACATATGAATACCCACCTAATCAATCAAATGAAGAAATTTGTATTTCGTGTGAAATATATTCTTTATACTGTAAGTAGGTAATATTCAGTAAATTAATGATAATGTGAAGAGTTCGAAAAAGTTAAGTTGTAGATTACTTCCTCGTATAAGTAGGTGATCTACAACTTTCATTATAGGTATCTACACTCGTATCTACACGAACAAGTTTCTTCATTTGATTGAACAGTTTTCAGTTGAAAATATTTCGAGGAAGTTTAGTTATTATTTATGTTTTGGGTGATTCCTAATTTATCAAATCGTCTGATCTAATACATTCAATACAGCTTTATGCAATTTTAAAATCGTTTTCAACAATGACACACCATCACTGGTGTAAGTGAGTTGAATACTGATGAAAACGAGAACGATATAGTCGGAAACCAGTGTTCGTCCTTTTTCATCGAGCGTATAATAAGAGGTGGACAGGATATCTGCAAGATTGAACAAGTTTGAATATTTCTATAGGTGACTCATGCTGGTATAGGTCACTATGGGATGCTTTGTAGATGGGTTACCCTTGTTTTAACATTGGATCGATGGTCCTGACCTGAGTCCGATCAGTATAAACAATAGTTTCTATAGGTAGGTGATCCATATGAGTAGGTCGTTGTATTGAAAAATACTCGGAAAAATATTAGTAAATATCAATTTTATTAGTCACATAATCCGGGATGTAATTGGTATAAGTACATAATAATTGCTTGTGGTTGAACTTAAAACTGATGAAAACTAACCGATAACATGTTCAAGGAATGTGGAGTATGCATAATTGGGAAAATTACCTTGTTATTTTCATTTCTTCCTTCTGTTATGATTAGACTATTGCCGAGACTATAGCTCATGTTGTATTCCTAGAAGAAGTTCGATAAAAAACGAGGGGTAAATCACATGGGAAGTCCGGTGTACCCTAGACGGGAATTCCTTGGGAAGTCTGGGAATTCTTTGGGAAGTCTGGGAATTCTTTGGGAAGTCCGGGAATTCTTTGGGAATTCCTTGGGAAGTCCGGGAATTCCTTGGGAAGTCCAGGAATTCCTTGGGAAGTCCGGGAATTCCTGAGGAAGTCCGGGTATTCTTTGGGAAGTCCGAGGAATTCTTTGGGAAGTTCGAGAATTCTTTGGGTATTCTTTGTGAATAACTTGGTAGTCCCAGCAATTTTTAGAAAATTGAAGTCAAATTTCTCAACGATGTTCAGATATGAAAATGAATTTTGCGCAAAGAAAACATATATGGGCTGCACAGTATTTTGCTTCAAGACCTACTTTGTTGATTTTTTTTTGACGGAGAGGTACCGCGAGCACCGAGAGTACCTTGTCCCACTTAGAATATCATATGTTAGTCAGTCGAATTTCCATTCTCTTCAAGGTTTCCCGTTGGAATCCTGTTAATTATTCGGAAAAATGAGAAGATCGAGAAAAATCTATTTTTTATTGAACATTTTGAATTCTGTGTGGCGATCGATTTTTCGACGACTTCCCGATATCCAATCATGCTGAAATTTTACACATATCTTTGGGTCTGGTCAATATGGGTATTATCAGATTCAATACGGTTATTATAAAGTAGAATACAATTTATAACAAAGCTTGAAATCCAATATGGCCGCCGACAAAAAAAATCCCTTTTTATACGAGCGTGCGGAAAAGTTACTTTACCCCACTAGTGCTGAAAAGTTACTTTTCGCCACGATTTTTGTATTGTTGAAAATGGGGATATTTATGACTAACTAAATGATCTATGTAACTATTAAAATCTTGTTTATTAAAAACTTTTTTTTTTCTCAAATAATAATAATATGGACAAAAACACTCGTGGAAAAACATTATACCTTACTCTTCTTGCGGCAAATGTCTTTTCCACAATTGACGGCTTGCCCGAACTCCGCCCCGCGTCGTTCGTGCAATAGCCGTCGCGTGCGGTAAAGTACTACTTTTCGTACTTGTTTGGTAAATAACTACTGAATTCGTTCACAATTCCCTCGACATGGGTACCAAATAAGAGAGAATGACAAGTAGAATACAAAAACCATATGACACTACTTGAAGTCCAATATGGGGCCGACACAAAATGTAAATGTTAATCAATTTCATTGAACACTTTGAAATACCATACAGGGTGTGCCTAAAAGGTCTATACATAAAATACCACATATTCCTCAGACCACAACAATTGAATTATATCAAATCTACCTACCTAAGTATAAAATTGCTCAGTTTGGGCGCTAAACGGCTCTGGAGAATTTTGTACCTACGTTGACATAGCTTTATCAAGCAATAAAACCCATATCATGATAATGATCGAAATTATGATGAATATCATTCCATGCTAGGCGTAAAATTCAATTTTTTCAGTAAATAAACATCTAGAAGGTACTCTTGATAAAATTCTATTACTCTCATGATCTCGAAAAAATTCGTAATTCTAGTAATTTAAAACATGTTGTCTACTTGTCTAGCGCTCTAACCGAGGCTCAAACTAAGCAACTTTGTACTGAACTAAGTTTGCTTGTATATTTCGTATTGTTTTGGTCTGATGAGGAATATTAAGTATTCTTTTGCGAATACATTTTAGGGACAGCCTGTATATCTTTGCAATTCGGACAAACGAGGTCACAGAAATATAGGTAAGTATGAGATTTAGCGACTTACTGTGAGCCGATCTTTAAACTGTAGAGTTAGTTTCATAAACAATCTTGATATAGGGGCCAAAACTTTTATTGCTACAGACATGTGGCATAGAGAAACATCCCGAGAAACATTTTGAAGTTTTTCTGCACAAAATCTGAAAAAATACAATATTCTCCTATTCAAAGATGTATACAATAATACAGGTAGGTATTGGAGAAATATCATCATTTACTTTATTTCAACATTCGCGTCATTTCCTTATATTTTTGTACAATGATAGATCGATCATTTTCATTGATTGACATTTTATTGCCGATTCCTAGATACAGAAGGTTGACGTTTTGTGCACGAGAAATAATACCTAGTAATTTTTGAATGTATGATGAATTGACATTCATCATACAGGACGTGGAAAGTAATTCTGAATTGATATTTTTATCACATGGAGAATGCGAATTCTCAATGTATTTCTTTATATATATATCCATTTTTTTGTGTTCATAAATATATCTGAGAATGTTCATTTCAAATACCTAGTAAATGATTTCAACTCTTCTAATTGTTTTTTTACATAAACTTAGTCGTCTGATCTCTCGAATTTTTCCTCTGACTTTCAATTTGAATATAACAAATCTTTGCCATTTTCAATCTCTCAACTATTTTTTCTCGATAGATATTGGTACTTAACAAAAAAGTTGAACAGTGTGACCATGATAAGGTTGCGCACGAGATTGCGCAGCATGAGGGTCTCGCGAGGGATCTCGGAAACGGTAAGAGATACGAATTCGGTTAAATGAGAAAAAAATTACGCATTCCAAGGGTCATACCTGGTCATACCAATGGATTTCGAAAATTTACAAAATTGTTAATAATTCCCCATGGTTGAACTCAGAATAAAAAAACTTTCGAAATCTGTGAACAGATAATCAGGGCCGTATTTGGAAAAAAAGTTGTTGATTTCTCTACGAATACGAAACGTCGCGTGGAGAAATCAATATCACCACGTTAAATCTCATCAAGAGATGCCATGTAAAAGTATTTTTAGAGTTTTGTATATATCTAATAATAACGTAGAAAAACAAATAGATATTCCGAAAATTCACTTTCTTTATACAATGTGTTTCTTAAGTACGTGTAAAAAATCCAGGAGCATGTAGCTGACGTCAAAATAAGAAGAAAAGTTCGTATAAATATATGTCCGAAAGTTATTCGTTTCTGAGATACAGAGTGTCAAAGTTGAATTCTGATTTTTGTTTTTTGTCAATAAATTTCAAAATAATTGTGATATTCAAATGAATTTTGGTATTTCGGGGTATTTTTCGATGAAAATATCAAATTTTATGTTAGTTCATCTCTTTCG